TAAATAATAACAAATCTAATCAGTCCTACCTCATTTTTGAAGAATTGGCTATTCCCTACACATAATATGGATACGACTTTAGTATGATCTGCATGCTTTATTATTATATGTTGTCGAAGTTTCGTGTTGTTTCCTACATGAATTCATGCTTCCTAAGGAAACTACCCTTAAATTTTCAATAGGTCTTTCCAACTCCAGTTCCAGACCTTTCATCCAAAGGTCCATTAGTGTTGTCAGGCAGATACCGAGGAGTATTCCCTGACACGCTTAAAGCTAAAGGAGTCCTTGCAGACTTGAGTAACTTCTCCCTGGATCTGAAAGCTATACAGACAAAGGACATACCTCTTGATAAGGTAACATAACTGTCTTAGGCTGTACTTTTATTAAGATTGTGACTTGTGAATCAGACTATTTTTTTTTAACATCTAAATGCGTAATTTATTTAGTTGTAGTAAATTGCAATTCAAATTTTTAGAAAAGAGTTAAATATTATATCAAGAAAATGTTAACTTGAACGATAAAATTATTATTTAAGTGATAAATTAGGATATTTAGAGATATAAATGAATATATGTTAGATATAATTATTGAACAATCTAAATTATTCAAAATAGATTTATAGATAAAAAAGTTGTTGTGATGAACATTGCAATTTAACATACATTAATATATTAATCGAACTTATCCAACAAACTAAAATATAATTGTTATATAGGTCTGATTTAGACTCTATAACGTATTTGAACAAGTAACTAACAATCATCTAATTTTGACATTCCATCATGGAAAAAGATTCAATTAACCAACTATACCTTTCTCAGAAATAAAAATAAAATTCTGTTAATGAAAAATATTGTATTCACAAGCATTTGAGCTTCTTTGCATTAGTTTGAGTGCAAGTTGGTCCCGCATATCGCTCATTATCTGAGAATCATCTTCTATTGTCCAGCTAGTTCCATTTGTTTCCTCCAATGTTTTTTCTTGTTGTCCTTTTCATCAAATATTACTAGAGGTGTATCAACTTGATGAAACAAGTTATCATTGATGTGTTCTTTCCTAATAAAATAATTAACTATAAGAAATGCTATAACAACACCCTTTTGAATATTAATAGGATATGGAACAATCTTGTCGAATAGAGGAAATCTTGCTTTCAGTATTCCATAAGAACGTTCAATAACATTTCTAAGTTGTGCATGAGCATGAATAAACTTTTCCTCCTTAGTTATAGCACGCCTATTACACTAGTTTCTTAACCAATATCTAATGTTACGATACAGTGCTTGAAATCCTCGAGTATTTAGAATATGCTGAGCGATCACATAGATAGTATTTATCTGACATTAAAATATGAAAATCAGGTTTTGTGATAAATATTTTTTTCTTCTAAAGATGATATATTATGAATAAAAAACTGTAATTATCCTTATTCCCTTCTTCCAAATCCCATTTTTAAAAAAAAATAAAATTTACTTCAATAGTAAATGTCCATAGTCCAATATATATAATCAACAATAAACCGAACAAACATTTTGAAAACAACAGAGTTCCATATCCTATTTAGAGCTTGTTTAGATGGGCTTATAGCTTATGACTTGTCGTAAGTTATGATTTCTAAATTATGAATTGCCTTAATTTTTATTAGTTTGACTTAAAAACAAGTGCACTACAAAATTTCTTAAAAAATATTTTAGCTTAATAGCTACTAAACTAAGCCAATCAAATCCAGGCTCTTAGAATAGATACTCATAGATCCGCCAATTGTTTCGTCCTTTGCAACTGTTTTTGGCAAACCTAAATAGAAATAGGTTATATGAATATTGTATATAGTTCTTTCTTTGAATAAAATACAGTTAACTCTAACTTGAGACTATTAGTAGATCATAAACTAGACCAATTTTTTACGATGATAATTGAATACCAACCATAAGATTTTACTGTTTGCTAAGTGTCGTTCATTTTATCAAAGAGGGAGGGGCTCAAGTCAAACCTAGAATCTGTGGTTTCATGTATACTGTGTTTCTAGCTAATAGTAATAATGTGTGCATGACAAATATATGTAAAGTTTCTTTCATGTGATAATCAAACTAAAAAGGATTTATGGTCAATTATTGGTTGCTTGACCACTTATGATCATCTTCGGTTGGAAGGTAAACCAGTTCAATGTTTTTTCAATTTCCACGTTCATTACTTATTGGGAACTTAAATGTGTTACACATACCAATTAGGACAACATCTTCATTCATGAAACAAATAGTAACCTAACACAAATCAATAAACAATGTACTTCTAAAAAGTTTTTAAATCTTACCTATTCAAAAGGATTATTGAGTAGCCGATTGATAAATGGAGAAAGAAAGGAAAAGGAGGCGGTGATACTTGAGAAAGAGAGGAAGAGTAGGCACTGATTTTATGAAACAAACACTTCCAAGATTTTATTGTAAATTCATTAGTGTGTTTGAAGAGTCTCAATGGTGTTAAGATTCTTTCGCGGACCTGAACAAAGAGTTACTTTCAGACCTATTAGGAGATCTTTTTTCTAAAAACAACAAATGCACCTAATGGGCTAAAGTTCAAACCATTCAGATTCAAACCTTTATGAAGTGCAAACAAATGAGCCTAAATCTAAAGTGAATCATATTTCCTCCCGAGAAGAGCGAGTACAATGAAAGAATCATCTAAATGTAACTTTAGTAGCTGTACTGGCCTTTATATACCTGGTGGGCGTTCATGGACTTTTGTCCGTTTGGTGTAGTCTGTGGAAGACTTGGGGAAGGTAATCATGGTCTTAGTGTTAGTATTCAACTCTAAGATTTTAGAGCTTCAGCAACTACAACCATGTCTTGTGTTGAGTTCTTTGCTTGACTATATATATACATCAATACTTTCTTGCCTTTAGAAGTTTTAACAGTTCAACTGTATATTTCCTTAATTTGGCTGCTGGGAATTTTTTTCTGACTTCTCTGCTGCCTACTGAATTAATTACTCTTATCCGTCTTTAGTAAAAGTGAAAGTTCTAGATTTAAGAGGATAAATTGATTCAATTGCTTTCTATGTTCAATGTGCAAGGTGTTAGCAAAGGCAACAGATTGAACTACTTACTGCTCAGGCCTGGTTGACTGAAAATAAGGACCTTGAACAGAAGGTTGCTACCACCTCCTATATTACATTGGAACGCCTGGATTTTGTCCATGTATTCTTGACTTGATTGTTATTTTAGAGTTTTTTTACCATCTTTCTACTTGCAGATAGCACAAACAAGTATACAGAAAGGCGTTATTTCTGAGTATACACGCATGATATTGATAGAGACTGATAAAGGCAAAGTAATCACTGAATCAACCACCAACACCAAGCGAAAGGTATGGAGCTTTCTGATTAAAAAGAGAATTTAGCTTTTATACTACATCTAGCAGTTCTGAGTAGCCAATTGTAAACTATTATCTAATTTTATCTGGTACATCTGAAATTTCTCTTTACTGGTATCGACTTGAGTCATGCCATATGCAGTAAAACAATGAAATTACCGACCGCAATAGGCATAAATAGTCTAGCGATTGTCACCCATTGTAGTTTTTCTTTAACCAAAGCATAATGAAGCAGGTTTCCACTGCTCCTACGAAGATTGAAGAGCCTAAAATACAGAAGGAGACATTGCTACAGAATCTGGGGGCTGGTTTTGGTAACTACAGTGCTACAAATGAAAATATTTCTCCTGGAACCACCGAGACAAAACCTGAGACAGCCGAGTTTCTAGCGAAGGCAGCATCTAATTGTTGTGGAAAGACATGTGAAATATGCTGTTGTATGTGCTGTATACGGACATGTTCGAAAATGAATGATCAATGTGCAATCGTGCTGACACAGTTCCTGGGTTCCTTGGCATGCTTAGGTTGCTTCGCTTGCTGTGAATTATGCTGTTCCGTTAATGATGGATGAGAAAGTTATTGCATAGCTTCCTTGCAATCTTGTTGTATACAGTTTCTTACATAGTACAAGGTTTACATTTTGTGTATCATGGTTTCTTGTGAATAGTATGTATTTATATACATACAAGTTTTACCAATTGCTTTACTGTAATGATGTAGAAATATAACATTTGCATGTTTCATAATCAGAGAAGAATAATGTTAAACTAGACATGATTATTTGCCGGACAAATCATGTGGGTGCAAATTAAGTTAATTAATTAGATTTGATCGTGTTTTTCGGCGACAAGCATAAATATCTCAAATAGTCACGAGTTCTTTTAGAAAGTTGCTTAAATTTATTTTATTCTTTTTTATAAAAAAAAGGCCACTTTTTTTTTTTTTTTTCAATAGCTTCAAAGCCACTCAATTATGGATATCTTACTAATACCTACAAAGTCAAACAATCTATTTGATTAATTTTTTTCACAACACTGAATTTTTAGTTAAAACCAAAATTATAAGAATTGAGTTAGATTTTTATGTTTTAAATAAGTATTTAAGATGCATATTTTTTTTTTGAAATATATTAATTAATAATTACTGAAATATAACTAAATATTATAATCATCCCCAAATAAGGTGATTTTTTTTTCTTTTGAATTATTTTAGAGACAATTCCAATCTGTTTTGAATTATTAATCAAGATATTGCGTTTTACTGTAGAATAATATCCTTGAGATTTTGACTATGTTTCACTAAGCAAATTGAAAGTTAAAACCATATTATTTTTGTGAAACAAGACTAGTCAGGTTAATCTTTCTCCCATTTAGATTACCTTTAGCTGCTACCAAAGATAACGGCTCATACAACGAAGTGCAAATAAAGTCATAGCAATTTTCTTGAGAATAATGTTGAAGAAACATCTTTACAACATGATAATCAAAGAATCCATACAACGATGTAAAAGGCGATAGGTGCTGCCTGCCTTTACACAAGTAAAAACTATTACACAGAGATCATGTTAACATATCAAATGGATTTGTAAATTTTGGGCGATGGTGACTTTTAAGAAACAAATGAATCGCAAAGTATAAAACAAAGAAAAGTAACTTGAAGAGATAAATTGTTATAATGAATGTGCACTCTACAAAAGGAAGGAAATCTAGGTCTTACCAATAACAGATAGGAAAAAAAGACTCTTTATCTACAAGTCCTGCTATGTAAGAACATGATGATTTAAATACCTGAATTGACAATCTTTTGTCTATCAACTTGTTCTATCTCGCGATATAGACACCTTACTTGATAATTTATGTTCATGTTCCTCAATCTTAATCTCCGTCTCTCGTTTATATCTGTTGTCGCCTGATGAATTCTCTTCTTGTTCCTCAATCATAATTTCTGTCTCTTGTTTTTCTTCTTCATCGTCATCGACTGATGTTTGGTGGAAAGTTTCTTGGATCTTTGTCATACCCTTCTCTACCGGCCCCATCGCTTGGTTTATGGTCAAAACTACATCCTTCACAACCTGTTTCATTGGTTTTAGTATATGTTGCAATTAGATATGATACTTCAAGAACAAATGAGCAAGTGCTTTAGACAAGGGGGGTTGCTCAAATGGTAAGCACCCTCGACCTCCAACCTTAAAGTAGTGAGTTCGAGTCACCAAGAAAGCAAAGAGGTGGGGGAGGGGGAGAAAAAACAAAACAGGATAGGCCTTACTTTTTGACCTCCTTCAACAACAATGTCCTGAACACTTTCTCTAACACTTGTCCCTGGAACCTCAACCTTAGTTTCTATCTTTTCAACAACGGCTGGTTTCTCTCCATCTTCTATATTTAGAGTTGTTTCAGCTTTTTGGGCAGTAAACTCTTCATATACAGATGTTGGCACATAGTGATACGGTTTCGAGGAGAAGACAAAAACATGAGCAATAGCAGCAATAGCCATCTGCAAAAATGAGAGTTGAACATCTCAGGGCCGATACGTAATAGTACTTGTTAAATAGGAAGTTTTTACTCAACTAATAAAGTGGAGAACTAGACACCATGTGATTGATATCACCTAAGTCTCGATATCAGTATGACACCATATTTCCAAGAAGTGTTTATGAATAACATTTGTCCAATAAAATCTTCCACTCTGCATAATTCCACTTCCTTAGATTGTGCTTCATGAAAATTTTAGCATAGCATCAGTTTCCAAATTGCACTTTCAGTCTTTGAGCATATCATATTTTTATAACAATTTTCTTGTATTAAACGCGATCCACCACTATGCGGATGATTGTGCCAGTTCAATCAACCTACTAAGGTACACAATCAGAAGAAAGAAAACCGAAAAGCATGATTTTTCAAGATGGAAAACACTTCAAAGCTTGCCTGTGAAAAAATGATATTGCTAATATCCAAGAGAAAAGACCTCAGGTTCGGTAGCTCTTCACATCTAAAGAACTCTTAAACCATATGACCTGGGCCAAGTTTATTTGTTCACTGTTTTTCGACCATCAGATAATCAATATTTCTTCGCCTAATTTACTAAACAATGTGTCCCGACATGTTCGAATTTCATTCAGTACACGAATATGATTTGATGCAACACATATCATAGCTTTCACTGACTATAGAACACGAAGCATTTCCATGGAATTAAAAAGCAAAGAATACCTACCTCTATGCAGATCAGAAAATCTTGCAATCCAGTCTGGAACTTTCGTTCCTTTGGGAGCACCCTTAAAGAACACAACAAGGCGATACCCACCCCTTGCCACCATGTTGCAAAAACAATGGCCTTGAAGCTAATGAATTTTGCTAGCGGTTTTATCGACTGGAGTTTATGGTGAGTCACATTATAAAATTGGACAAGACAATATAATGCCCACATCTGGCTGAAGTTTAGTACCACAGTGATATAGGGATATCTGCAAGGAGCAATAAGCAGATAAGAGTGATATATCAGTGTCCTATACAACAACAACAACATAACCAGTGTAGTCCCACATGTGACATCTGGGAAGGATAGGATGTATGCAGACCTTATCCTACCTTTGCGGGGTAGGGAGGTTATTTACGATAGATCCTGGGATCAAAAGTGAAGTTATCGAAGTAGGGTTACAAGAAAATATAACAAGATCTAAGACAAATAAAGCAACAGACAGTAAGACATTGTAAAATGAGAATCTACACGACTACTAAATACTACTACTACTACAAGGAGTGAGGAGATGAGGCTAGCCCCTTAGCTTGCCTCTCCCACAGTCCACACAGTACGACAACACTTGGCCACCTACAAACCTACTACCTAATCTTCGACCTCCAAACCTTCCAATCTAGAGTCATGTTCTTAATAAGCATGTATCAAAGTCCTATAACAGAAAAAATTGAGCTACGAGGCAAAAATTGCTGCAACACTGATATATTGTAAGCTACCAATTGATAATAAAAGGTCTGCAGTTGAAGATGTCACAATCGCAATCACTCAGAGTGAGTTTTGATTGGTAGTTTACAATCGTGACCTCTTCAGTTGTAAACTACACTGAGTTTCGAATTATCCACAGTCATATCATTCTCTATCTTACACAATGCATTTTTCACTTTCTTTAAATGCTGAAAACAGGCTAGCTCCTGGTGCTGCAAATCAAGGTTCTGGTTCCAGGAGAATGAGGAGTGTCATATAGGAACTCCGAAAGATACGTCTCAAAGCTAAAATGAACGATTATGACCATTAAACAACATGAAAAAGGAAAGAAGAATGGTTTGATGACCAATTGTTCATCATATCCTTATTATCTGAAAAAAAGAAAGAAAAATGCACATTAAATCCCTTATCATTAACTTTGATATTAACGAGTGCAATTCAGAATTATACATGAGTTAGCTGATCAACTATTGACAGTCGAGATATTTCATTTTAAAGAAGGACCCTTCGGAATTTAGAGAAATGTAGCTGTGATGACACTAATGGTGTTCAAATTATACAGCTATATGTGGTGCTTAATGTGTGAAAATTGTTTCTAATACTTCACCATTTTATACGATACGGAAAATTTTAGATGGAGAAAATGGTATACCCATAGTGCCAGTCAAACTTTCCATCACCATATACCCCAAAAATCTCCAAAATGAGAGCTAGGAATGCACTGACTGTCTTCAAAATCATCTGCGGAACACAATGTCATTAGTATGAAGATACCGAGTACAGCAATGTAACTATTGAACTTTCTTCCCCTTTGACATACATATTGTACAAGACCAAATTTTTCTATAGTGAACAACTGCTTCCCCACGACATATGGGTGGAAAATGAAGTTATACAATGTCCTTTTTTGTGCCACAGGTTTCTCCTCTCCTCCTAGCAATGACTGGCTGATTTGTTTCCTCGATTCATCTTCAAGCAGTTCAACAACCTGTCGCTCACCCCCTGCCACAAATCCATATCATGCAAGTTATAGTCTGGTAAATTTTTTCAAGGACTGCATGTAGTAGACCCCACAACATGCTAAGTTAGAGAAACTCCTCTTCCGTCGAAGGTACCAAGGGAAAGGTTGACTATTGCCATTGTTAAAATATCAAGACATTTCAGGTATTTTGATTAACTGTTATCTGGTTATACAAGACTGGTAGGAAGTTCTTGAGATATCTTTCATATTTTTGCAATACCATTGGAAATAGAGATCATGCTTACCAAGGCAAGCGATCAAGTAACTTCCAAAAGAATAGAGTGCAAATGCTTCATAACAGTTCCTCAATATGTCGCAGGCAAGGGAAAGATTTGGGTTCCACAAGGATACAATCTGTAAAAGATGAGAACCAATTCAGTTAACTCACGAGAATTTGAAGTTACTTTTATAGAAACTTTGCATCAACTTTAAAGATTAATTTACGCTGTTGCTTTAGTCATTCAGTTTAAACATGTATATTGCATTTAAAGATAGTATATCTCGTAAAATAGTGAAAGGTGCAGCAAGACGTTATAATATTATATCCTATTAGAACCTTATTTCCTTGATACATATCTCAATTAACAATTCAGAAATCAGAGTGCATTTCACTGGTTTATATCCTTACTGATTCAGTTGCATAGACAGGAACCATGAAAATGACCCCCACGATCCATTTTTGTTCCTGATAAGCAAACACAAATTTAGATCCTACATTCTAAGAAATAAGAATAAAGAGTACTCCATGAATACCTAAATTGAGTACTCACCGCCGGATTAGTATAGTATCTGAGATGCTGAAAAATTAAGAGAAGCGAGAGGATCAATGCTACCAAGACAAAGCTTCCCCCAATTACTAGAGCAGGCTCGTGGAGATCTCTATATATGTTCACATGAGAGAGATGTAAAATGATGCCATGCCACATGATCTCTATTGCAGTTCTCTCTAAAACTTATAACAAACACTAACCAAACCTGAAAAACAACAATGCAATTAGCTTGGAATGGTTATCTCTTAATCTACGATAATCATTATTACTAGAAGCAAGTAAAAGGTTTGCATTATTAGCATGGTTTTTCAGGTGTTACTAAGTCTGTGTATTCTTTGAGTTGATGTCATTAAACTTGCACAAGACACCCTTCTGTTGTCACTTCTTTTTTTTCCTGAATGAAACAGAACTGACTGCAAAACAATTTTAGTTCACCAAGCACGTTGTAAAAACATCAAAATATCCTAAAGAATCCTTCTTTCAGGAGACTCCTGAAACTCAGAGGCGTATCCAGAATTTTGAAAAGATGGGTGCACTATTACGAAAAGGTGAATCGAAGATGTAAATTTGATCAGTTTAAGTTTAATCTCCTTCTGTCAAAAAAAAGATTCAAGTTTCTAACATCGCACCCAATCAACATTGCACACTATTATAATCAACATTGCACACTATTATATGATAGTTCAAATGTGGTTCACACATCAATATTTGAATACCTTTTTTTAAAAATATAGGACTACTATTTATGATTTCTAGAGGGAAGCATGGGTTCACGTGAACACAGTGACCCTTTCCTGAATACGCCTTTAAATTCAGCTCCGGCAACTCTTGGGGTGTAGAGCGTGTCTGAAACAGCTATCACAGGATGCTTTGTGTATCGGACTTCCCACTGCGCTCAATCCTGGCATGGATTTCACGCCCTACTTTAAAAAAAACACACTATTTTCCCACTGAAAAATGTTCAGGGCTAACGTGAATTTATTTCCCACCATGCATTTTCATTTACTTTGTTTCTAGTAATGAAAATATAAATAATTTCACAGTATGAATCAATTTTTTACCTGCCTTACACTACTGAGTATTTATTATGTACCACTTATTTGATAACAAAACAGAACCAAATTAACGTTTCTAAAAATGGAATTAAATAGAGAAACAGAGAAATTTCATGCCTGTAAAATGAGAGTTGTGATTCCGCTACAGATCCGCTAAAATCCATTTTAACATTTCTTGTTAGTATTATTAGGAATAATAAATTGTATAGTTTTTTTCAGGATATGCACACCCGCCAAGCGGCGATATAACAGTTTCCTTTTGTTCCTTTACTTTTATGTTTGACACGTTGCACTTTGTTTTACAATGACAAGCCCATCGCCCACTCATAATTATTAGATACACAACGTATACTCACTTGTTTTTATTATCCCATATTATTTTTAAAATTATTTATTTAATGTATTCAAATCGCCTGTTAATATATTTCAGTCAATATTTAATATATTCAAACTAGTTTTTTATACTCAAGCTATATATTAATATATCCAAGCTATTATTTAATGTATCTGAACAATATATTTAAATATAATTGAAATGTATCCAAACTTTAATAATTATATACGAATTTTTAATTTTGAAAAAATTAATATAATCACAAACTTATTAATTTAATATTAAGATTATGAATGAAACTTATCTAATTTACACTTAGATTGTGAATTAGATATTGATTGGATAGTACTAATTGGAAAAATTGTACAAATTCCCCACTAAAGGTTGAGGGTAAAATATTTACTTTTGCCCATATATATATATATAACGAGTACTCCCTCTGTTAGCCGATTTGGCTCGGTATAAAGTGCTCCTTCCGCAGTACTACTTTATGTGACATTTTTTCGTATTTTTAAGATTCAAATAAGTTTATCTTTAATCGTAAGTTTTTTTTATAGATTATTTTAACATTTTGATAAATAGTACTCTTTACGTAGTTTACAAATATATAAATTTTATTTCAAAAAATTTGAAGATTCCAAACCCAAATGTCCGGTCAAAGTTAATCTGTTTGACTCTCGAAAAATGAAAAGTGTCACATAAAATAGGACACAGGAAGTATTAAAAAATAAAAGAAAAAAATAACTTTTAAAAATTGTAGTCTAAAATAAATGATAAAAATTTGGTGACATAAAATATTTCATTAAAGGTAAAATGAACATTTTATAGTTAAATTGTTACTTAATATTGAATTGTGTCCTTATTGAAATTGACTAATAAAAAAAGTAAGTCATATAAACTGAGATAGAGGTATATTAGTTTATACATTAGCTATACACATACTATACATTATAGGAAAAATTGTATAGTATGTATAGCTATAAACATACTATACATTATAGTTTATACATTAGCTATACACATACTATACATTAGCTAAACACATACTACACATTATAGGAAAAATTATATGAAATAATAAACTATTAATTCAAATTAAAATGTTATAACCGTAGTTTGTTTTATTTGTAATTCGCAGCAAACATCCCAATTATTTTGCCGTCTGATTCGATATACAATTAGCCATTTTTGATATATAATTGCCCATTCGGTATACAAATGTATAAAATGTGTTTGTCTTTGTATAAAAAGAGAGAAAAATGTATATACAATACAAATACATATATTTTCGTCTTATATACTTATATAATTATACAAATACAAATCTTATTCTATAAACTACAATGTATAAATCAATTTATACAACACTGAACAATTTGTATAAACTTGGATGTATCTAGTGAATTATATAAATCAAAAGCTCCATAAAAAACATAAATTTTGCTATGGAGCGCAATTGTGCAATCTATAGTTATAACATACAAATATGATTTTTATATTTGCTATATGTGAAAGTTACTCTACATTATAATATAGTCAAAAGTTTGAAGTAGCTTAACTATATATGAAGTATACAATGCTTATACCTAAAATATGCATGAAATGTCTAATCTCAATCAACTCAAAAATCACCTTTATAAACTTTAAATATAATATTTTTTTGATATTTCAAATAAAAAATATAATTCACTTGAAACAATTCACATTCATGATATATCAAATTTTAAAAAATATGATGAAGAAAATGAAAGAAAAAGGAGGAGGAAAAACAAGGACATGATGAAGAATAAAGACGAAGTCGATGAAGGTCTAAAATAAATTTGGCTATTCTTTTCTGCAATTAAGATGACGGAATGATCTTTTTTGGGTAACCAATCGTATATAATAATGAATGTAATTATCCCAATATCCATGAAAGTCAGTTTATTTCGAAAGTAATATACATATACTCCATTTTTTTAAATTTATTTTTCTCACTTAAAAATTTACTTAAATTGAATACAGATTTAATCTTATGCACTTATTTTTAATATGTCGGAGAAAATGATAATAAGACATAGGATAATTTCCATACTAAATAGCAATAGCAAGAGAGTGACAATAATATCAAATATTAAGATGAGATAAATATGATATTCAAGTAATTAACACAATAATATTGACAAAAACTTAATAGCATCAAAAGATTACTATTCTTTTATAAGAACAACACTTTTTTGTTCTTTACAACTCATAATAATATTATTTTCACACTATTTTCTCATAAACGAAGTAATAACTTGTGGATTGCTCTCTCTAATCTCTACTACTTACTTTATTTTGGTGTGTCTTCAAATATTCAATTACTATTCTATTTAATATTTATAGAGTTTTGAACCTCTTGATACATCATTCATGACATAAATGTGACAATTTTCACAAAGTTTGGCTGTCAAACTACATCAAAACTCTATCCAAATTTAGCTACCAATTTTCATAAATGTAGCTACCAACTTTAACATTTGTGGCTAGTAAATTTCCACAAGTATGGCTGCAAATTAGTTGTTGTCAAGCTTTGTTCCAACAAATCTCAAACTTAATTTTAATTTTTCTTTCTTTAATCCAAGACTTGATCTCAGATTCTAGAAATCTTCAAATTTGAGAGGTTTTGTAAAGATATCCGCAATTTAATCATGAGATTTCACATACTTGAACTCTATCTCTTTCATGGAAATGCATTCTTGAATAAAGTGATACCTTGTGTCTATGTGCTTGCTCCAATCATGATACACTAAATTCTTGGCAACTACCGGTCGCGCAAAGTTGTTATCAATACATAAATGGAGTTCCTTCAACAATCTCCCTTACTAAATAGCATGACATGTACATGATGTCGTTGCCACATATTTAACTTCACAAGTCGAGAGAGTAAAAATTGATTGTTTCTTTGAACTTTAAGAAATAACACAATCACCTTAGAAAAATACCAAATCAGATGTACTTTTTCTATCATTAATAATGTCTCCCGCATAATCACCATTATAGTATCCCACAAGGTTAAAATCATCAGAATTAGAATAAAAATGTCCAAAATCGACTGTACCTTTTAGGTAACATGGAATTATTCTCGTGACCTTCAAGTGAGTGAAGGTAGAAGCTTCCATAAATGACTTACTACTCTAACCACAAAATATATACCTGATCTCATACATGCAAGTATCTTAAACTTTCTACTGTACTTTTGAACAGAGTGGAGTCTACCTTTTCTCAATTTTTAAACTTTGACAATTTTGATTCACTTTCTATTGGGGTGTTCACAAGGATACTATCAAACATGTTGAACTTCTTTAAAATCATCATTGTACAACTTTTTTTGAGATATGAAAAATGCATTCCTCCGTTTACTTCACTTCTAAGCCCAAGTAATATTACATAAGCCCTATGTCTGTCATCTCAAACTCAAGGGACATGACTTTCTTGAAAGTTTCAAACAAAAGTGGGTTGTTACCCAACAAAATAAGATCATTGACATAAGGGCAAACAAGAAAAATATCTCCTTTAGTAAGAACTTTAACATGAAGACAGAGTAAATTCTTTATCTTAAAAGTATTTGTCAATGCGATTATTTCAAGCTCATAAAACTTGTTTCAATTTATATAAGACTTTCTTCAATCTAAACCCTTATCTTCATTGTTTTTGACCACAAAGCCAATGGTTTCTCAAAACAAAAATTCTTAAAGATATCTATTCAAGAATGTCGAGTTGACATCTAGGTTAATAGATCTTCCACTTCATTTACACCACTAAAGAGACTTGTGACTTAAGGCTACAAACAAAGGTTCTTTATTTTGGAGCCTGTCAATTTCATGTTACTTCTTCATCAAATTCAATATCACGATTTGCGACTCACCACAACCTTGTTATTGTTTGTATTGTACAATCGGTAGCCTTTGGAACTCACTTCATAGACAACAAATACATACTTGTGTAATGACCCACATGTTATTTTTTGAGAATTTTGAATATTCGTCTAAATATAATAAGTTAATATACGGGTATTTTATTTTAGGAATTAAGCTCGTTGATAATAATGAGACAAATTTGAAATTTATTTAAGAATATATACCACTTGACCCACATTTATTAAAATAAGTTAATAAAAGTTTACCATCTTCTAGCCTAGAAAAGAATCTTGTTACTAGTATATTCTATCCAAGACACTTATCCAACGATTTGTTGATTCACGAGAAAAAAAAATAATTTTCATCAATTAACTAAACAATGAATAAAATAGACCATACAATAACTTAATAGCACGAAACAACATGACATCTAATACATGAATTAGAAGTTACTGGTGAAATAAACACAAAAAAGTAAGATATTAAAACTTGGTATAGTCTAAATGTATTAAGACACAACCAATACAGGATTACCTGACAACATGAAAAGAAAAATGTATCAAGAGATGATACTACGTAAATACCTCATAGAAGACATCTAGTAGACATAGTAAAATAATTGTTGTTAGTTTTGAAATCTTATTGCAAATATGTATTTAAATAGATTCCATTGATCTATAAGCTCAACAAATAACATGATCGCACACGTATACCCTCACAAACCAACTTGCTCGCTTCGACCCTCGCCCCAATCCATAGCCCTTGGGGAAAAACTCCCAACTCAGACACACCTGATTCAGATAAGACTCACATCTTTGACACATAAAGATGCCTACAGATGCTTCCTTGGCCGCGTGGAATATGGATTAGCATTATGTCAGTACTACAAGTGCCCTAATTTCCATTTAAGGTGAATAAGATTAGATTAGTCTCGCAAAATTCGTTCTCAAATGATTCAGCGACGAAATTAGGCGGGGAAGGCTCAAATTTCGTAGTGATTATTCAATTATTTGAGGCAAGTGAA